GGCGGCTAAATGCATGCGTTTATGCGGCAGGTAGAACTGTTGCTGAGCTACACGCCGAGAGGCAGCTTGGGATTATAGATAAATTTATCAATTCCTGCCGCCCCCAAAAATCATAGATTTTTTGAAGAGCTTGATACAGTACTTGTGACCATTAGATGATTTCCAAAGTTGTGTGCTGAATTTCTTCTCTGTAAAATGTGTATGACTCCACAGTAAAAAATGCTAACTTGGTGCGGACAGGCGCACTCTGGCTCAAACACGTTGCTCCCTTGGCCTGTTTCTTCATTTGCTGATAATTTTGAGCAGTCGTCGTTGGGCATCGATGGTTTCATTCGCGACTTGCTAAATTCAGAAAGTTGTTCGCAGCAGCGGTGTGTGTTATATGAGTCAATATTGCGTCTCACCGAAGCATTCCTAGTCCATAGAGGTGCTAGAACTGTTTTTGCGTATAAACGATTAATGCTCAAAATAACAGGGGTCATTCCTCGCTTTGCAGTCCATTCCGAAACATCAGAAAGGTGTGCTAGAACATATAGCACTCTGCACGATGCCCGCAACTCCTAGATTTTTCCGGGTTGTCGGTCCTGAATGGATACATGTTGTGCTTCACCAGTGCTTTTAAAACCGCGTAGAGCCGTGGTAGTTAACTGCTAAAAATTAACGTGCCCGAGCATGCTGGCTGCGAATTCGCTAGCCAGTGATATAGCGTCTGTGAATGTGTCGTAAATCGTCAGAAATGGATCCAACATTCTATTTTTAACGCGTGCGTCGATGCCCACATCTACTTTACCAGCCATTTCGAACTGCCTTCCATCGGATTTTGATCGTATGGCTTTGCTGTTCTGGGAACATGAAGACGGCGGCAATATGTTCGGTGCTGAATGGCTCTTCGCAACCAGCGACTAAAAATTTTAGATGAAATCGAAATGAATACCTCAGAGTTCCCAAGCTCCCCCACCCCTTGCCTGTAAAGCTACAGGCTATTAGCAAAATGTTGTCAGATTGAAGAGGGTTGTGGCGAAGCGCATTCTTACAGAATTGGCAAGTTTATTTATTCGTTGAAAACCCATTTTCTGTGAGTATCCGGCTTTGCGCTATCTAATTTCTGCGGGCCCAATTGTTTCGACCTTTTCCTTTTTTTCACATTTCAAAGCGCCACGAGGAATTCTGTTTTCTTGCATAAGGTCAAAATCAAAACCGCTATGTATTCACTTCGTCTGAGAGACGAAGGCACTCGTAAGTGTTCCGAGGATACCAAGAAATCTCTCGTTGATAGGATTGTCGATGGTTTTATTATTCTTCGGCCGTTTACAAGCAATCTAATGACAGGATTGACTAGCAAGTACTAATTTGCATAGCAAGTACTAATTTGCCATCGAAATGATGGAATGAATAGTAGAAGGGTTGTTGTTCTAGCTGTGAAGTTGAACCCCAAACTTATTTTACATGCCAGCAGTGCTTGCCGCTGGGTTATACCTTCAACTTTTGTATGCTCTAAAAGCTTCATAAACTTAAACTATTTGAGAATTGGCAATCTTGACCATTTGTGGTTTGAGATTAACTTGTGGTCGAACACTGAGATTCCACTGAAGAGCGCCCAACGGGTTAGACCACGAAATGCATTGCCAAATTGCCGACAGCGTTAGAAGTACCACTGTGATCTAGAATTCAAACTATATAAAAAAAAGAAACGGAAACACTGAATGAAAGAAAATCAAATGAGTTTACTACCATTAAGATTGAGAAAAACTATAAATTCTGCACAAAATTTGGCAGTACTGAAATTTAAATGATCCGACAATCATTTGTAATGACCTCGCCACGAACTTTATAAAATGAAAAGCGCGGCAGGCGTATTTCTCCATG